ACATGCCTTGTCTTAGTCACTGTTCCCTTGCTGTGCAGAGACACCATGACCAAGGCAGATTTTATAAAATACGTCATTTAATTGCTTACAGTTTCAGAGGTTTAGTCCATCATCATCATGATGGTGATATGGAGGCAGACACTGGAGCAATGGCTGAGAACTACATCATGATCCATAGGCAGGGAAAGAGACTCTGGGCTTGGCATGGGCTTTTTTTTTTTTTGGTTTTTCGAGACAGGGTTTCTCTGTGTAGCCCTGGCTGTCCTGGAACTCACTCTGTAGACCAGGCTAGCCTCGAACTCTCGAACTCAGAAATCCACCTGCCTCTGCCTCCCAAGTGCTGGGATTAAAGGCATGTGCCACCACCCATTCCAGTGACACAACCTCCAACAAGGCCACACCTCCCAATTATTTTAATCCTTTCAAATAATGCCACTTCCTGGTGCCTAATCATTCAAATATATGAACCTATGGGCCATTCTTATTCAAACCACCATGTGACTATAGTTTGATTTGGTACAGAGGCTGAGGCTCAAAGATCACTTGAGCCTGGGAGTTAAAGAGCAGACTGGGTCATACATTAAAACCTTCTATGTGTCTAGGCAGGGAGAAAGTAGAAATCAGAAAATAAATGGTTTCTGAAAACCAAAACAGGAGAGAATAAAAACAATCTTTTTTTTTTTTTAATCTTCTGATCTTTGCAGAATTGTTTTTGAGACAGGATATCTCTATGTAGCCTTGGCTCTCCTGGAACTTGTATGTAGACCAGACTGGCCTGTGACTCAGAGACTCACCTGCCTCTGCTTCCTGAGTGAGTTCTGAGATTGAAGGCATGCACCACCACACCTAGCTGAGGTTGGATTTTTTGAATTACACAAAATAAGCTTAAAGGCTTTTTTAAAAGTTTTTTTAAACTAATATGAGTACATGTATTCATATGGACCATGTGTGTGCCTGATGCAGGCAGAGGCCAGAAGAGTCTGTCAGATCTCCAGAAATTGTAGTTCTACTCCATTGTGAGTAACACAATAAAAGGATGACCTTTTTAAAAAGCTGTGCAACTTGCTAGTATGTCATATTTTGCAACAGCCACTCAAATGTAGCCAAAGGTGTTAACCGCAAACAAACCCTCCTTGGAATGTGTATCAGAAAAGTCAAGTGAATCTAACCCTCACCCATAGTAAAAGATCCTGATGCTACCACCTCCCCTCCTCCTGCATGAGAATGTTTACTAGTTAGAGTTCATGAAGTATGTGGAAGATATAACATAACCATTCTGGCTCATGGGTCTTCAGAGCAGCAGAGACAACAACTAAACATGACCAAATACGCTTCTAGAAACCTGGTCCTGAGGATAAAACCACCTGGACTATGACCCTTGAAAAGAGAGTCATTGTGTTTTCAAGTATGAAAGAAAATCTAAGTGCCTGGTAACCTGAACATTGTATAGAGACAGGGACTTCTGGTAAACTCACACACCCTGTTCTCCTTCCTTTAACTCCACAGGATCACATAACTACTGACCAGTGGGCGGAGAAACACACCTGTGGTAAAGAACTATCGCTAGAGAGAGAGTTTTCCACACTCTTCTCTGCTACACTGAGATGGTTCCCTTTGGAGACTGTGTAGATGCAGTGGGCTCCGAGTAGGAAATCACTTTGGTTTTTTTAAAGCAATTGGAATCTGGAGGTATGTAGCCCGTTTAACCAGTCTTGTCCTAAGAAACAGGATCATTGGGACTGAAGCAATGGCTCTGATGTGGGGTATTCATCAGAAAAGGATATTTGGACATGGGTTGAAGCCAATAGAAAGTCTTTTATTAGCCCAGCAGAGACTACACTGAGTGTGTGGCATCCCAGTGTAGCCTTGAGTTTTTCTCAGGATGAGCTTTTAACCACAAAAACCATGTTCTGGGTTGTCAAATATCAGATAGCAAAACAGTCAGAAGCAGATCTACAGAAGCCAAAAAGAAAGGTTAGTACATTCAGAGACTTTCTAAGAATTATGGATTTCGATAGATTAGCCTTGTTTTGGAAGATAAGATTGTTTACATGATGAATTTTACAGCTTGTGTGATATTACATCATAAAGTCAGTTGTGCTACAGTCTCAGGGCCTACAAAGGTCTGACACCCTGTCACAGTTCAGTGGTTAACAGCACTGTCTGGTCTTCCAGAGAGCCCAGCACCCATAGGGTAGCTCATAATTGGCTGTAATTGCAGTTCTTGGAGATCCAACAACCTCACAGACACACATGCAAGCAAAACACCAGTGTACATAAAATTAAAATAAATCATTAGAAAATACATGTTTATTTGTAAACATTTTGGGTTTTTCTACTTGGCTGTAATCCTTGAGAAATGTATAAAAATGCTTTCAGGAAACGCACAAACTTCTAAAACTACAAATATTTGGCAAATGACGTTTTTCTGGGGACAAATTTCAAGATTTCTCTTCTCAGCTTCTGTGGCAGGAGAGAGCCCTAAAATTAAAACTCATTTTCTCTCTTTAGCTTTCTCTTTGGTACTCTCGGATCTGCTATGATGGCTATTCCTGGTTGTCAACTTGACTACACCTGGAATGAACTACAATCCAGAATTGGAGGGCACATCTGTCATCCAGATCTTGAGGCTAGAAGACCCATGTTTCTTCCCCAGATCTTACTTGGGATGACACATGCTTTTGATCCAGATCTTGAAGATAGTGGCCATGAAAGGCTTAGGGCCACCGGGCGGTGGTGGCGCATGGCTTTAATCCCAGCACTTGGGAGGCAGAGGCAGGCGGATTTCTGAGTTCGAGAGTTCAAGGCTAGCCTGGTCTACAGAGTGAGTTCCAGGACAGCCAGGGCTACACAGAGAAACCCTGTCTCGAAAAAAACAAAAAAAACAAAAAAAAAAAAAAAGAAAAGTTTAGGGGCAGGCAAGGTAGTGCAGGACTTTAATCCCAGGAGACTGAGGTAACCAGATCTCTGAGTTCAAGGACAGCCTGGGACAAGGGAAGTTCCAAATCCAGGCATGGTGGTACATCTAGGCCTTTAATCTGGGCCATACCTTCTGCTGGAAACCTATATAAAGACATTGGAAAAGGAGGACTCACTCTTCTTCACCTGTTTGCACTCACTTGCCAGCACATCTGTTGGAACCTACTTCTTCAGGATTCCAGTTTAAACAGAATTCCAGATGAAACTAGCCTTGTGGGACGGAGCAACTACTAGATTCTTGAACTTCCCATTCATGGCTGCACACTGCTGGGTTAGTTGGACTGCAGACTGTAAGTCATTACAATAAATTCCCTTAATATATGGACATTCCATAAGTTCTGTGGCTCTAGAGAACCCTGATTAATCTGTTATCACTGGGACATCATTCTTCGCTAGGTGTTACTTGAAACAGCATGTAAGCAATATGATTTGAGGTTTTTTTCCCTTATGTGTTGGCTGGTTTTATGTCAACTTGACATAAGCTAGATTCAGAGAAATCAATTGAAAAGTGCATCCATTAGGGCTGTGGGCAAGTTTATTGGGCATTGTCAAATAAATGATTGATGTGGAAGGGTCCAGAGCATCGTGCTACCCCTGGCCTGGACTCTGGTCCTTTAAGAAGCCAACTGAGCAGTCCATGGAAAGCAAGCCAGTAAGCAGCATTTCCCAGCCTCTGCATCAGACCCTGCCCTGACTCCATCTGTGATATGTAAATATAAATGAAATAAACCCTTTCCTCTCTAAGTTGCCTTTGGTTATGATGTCTCATCACAGCAATAGAAACTGAAATGAAGACCAGTTCACTCACCTGACAGATTTTCTTCTTGAGTGATTTCTTGCATTCAGTGCTATCTATATTCCTAATGTCAAACAAAGAGCAGGTATCCAACAAACACTGGTTAAACGATCAAATAAAAATGTTAAGTCTCTCTCTCTCTCTCTCTCTCTCTCTCTCTCTCTCTCTCTCTCCCCCCCCCCCCATATTTTTCTCTTCCTGAATGGACATTCTGGTTCTCTTTCTCATCTATCTTCCTTCTGACTCTCTCCCCATGGCAACTTCCCTGGCCACATTCTTGGGACCAGTGAACCCGAGAGCCCCTTCCACAATAAACCTGCCTTTATATATATGCTAATATGTGTGTGTGTGTGTGTATATATATATATATGTGTGTGTGTGTGTGTATATATATATATATATATATATATGTGTGTGTGTGTGTATGTGTGTATATATATATATACATATATATGTATATATATATATATATATATAAAATCTTTCATCATGACCTCTGAAAGCTCTGTGACTCCAAAAAAGTTAAAACAAACAGACATGTACACAACATATTTCCTAGTGTACAATCCTATCTAAGTAACTCAAATCATTCTGAGAAATAGCTGACAGGTTTCTTTGTTTTCTGGACTGAGAATGTAGCTCAGTGAAAGAACTACTAGATACAATTCCTGGCATTAGGTTGGGACAAATTTTTTTATTTTAAAATGAGCATTCCTGGGCTGGAGAGATGGCTCAGTGGTTAAGAGCACTGACTGGTCTTCCAGAGGTCCTGAGTTCAAGTCCCAGCAACCACATGGTGGCTCACAACTATTAGTAATGAGATTTGATGCTCTCTTTTGGTGTGTCTGAAGAGAGCAATGGTGTACTCTTATAAATAAATAAATCTTTTTTAAAAAAGTAGCGCATTCCTGAAACTTGAAGGCCACTGTGAACTAAATGTTTGTGTCCCATTCATACACTCCCCATGTGGGAGTTCTGTGGAGTGGAGTATTTTGAAAGTGATTGGGTTCTGACATGAAGCCCTCAGAAAGATGATTGTGCAGATCCTTTTCCTATCAACCAGGTGAACAAACACTGAGAGAGCATCACCAGAACCTCATATGGACCATGGATCTGTGTGTCTTTGTCTTGAGCTTCCTGACCTCTAAAAGTGTACGAAATAAATTTTTGTTGTTCATAAGTTCCTTAAATTATATTTTGTTTATAGCAAGCCAGGGGACTAAAATGGACATGAACACCATGTTTATTAACATTTTGTCAATAATGTATAATGCACAAACTCTAGGCCTGATATGTTGACATAAGAATTTAGTATTTATTATGATGTTTATACATACAGCAATGACCAAATAATGCTCAATAAGTTACACAGATAGTTTTAAAATACTGTAAAATTGGATAAGAGAAGGAATGATACTATGAATTTATTATTGATACCCGAAAATAACCATCTTTTAAATACATTTGAATTGATGATTTCTACATGAACAAAAACATTTTAGTACAGAAATCATATCTCTAATAATGCAATGGATGCTATCTGAAAGCTTGATTTTATTGCCCATATTTGGTTTAGGTTTATTTGACCAGATGTCATGCAGAAAAATAAGCTGAGTATGAAGTTCATGAAAATAGGCAGGATGTTATTTTGTTCTACAAAAATCTGATGTGCAGTGACATTTCACAGCTAAATCTTCAGGAAATTTTATTCAACTATTGCATAAAATCACTAACTAATCACACATGCAAACTAAGAATTATTAGATACAGCAAAATAGCTGTTGACATATGACTCTGAGTTGATACAATGACCATCTCCTTGACCACCTAAATAAGCAGTCTACATATTGTTTTTTAAAATATTAAACAATAAATCTTAAATATAGATATATATATTTGTTTATGTCATAAACATTCACATAATTGGCACATCATCAAAATTTTATCATTTTAAATATAGGAAAGCCAGGGGAGAACTGGGAATAGAGGTACCCTGTAAACCAGTTTCTAGATAAAAACGTCTCTCTTTTACCTTTCAAATTCACTGTGCCAAAACACTAAGTAGTTGTGTTGATCTGTAAACATTCTTGTTTATTTGCACTGTTTCCTGAGGTAATCTGGAAACTATTGTTAGTACAGTAGCCTTACAATTTAAAATTTCCACAAATGTGCTTTGGAAAACTTCAAAGTAAGAACAAAAATTTAAGTGTAGACTTGTGTGATTTTTATCTATTACATAAGCTTGATAAGAAATTCCTACGTATCAAAATCAAACCATTTCCCTCCATTTTTAGAAGGCAAGAAAAAACACTCAAACTTTAGGTCATAAAAAAATACATTTCAGAACCTCCTCAGCACTAGGTAATAAATGAACATTTTATTTGAACGTCACTACTAGAATAATGTATAAAATCATATAGATTTTAAGGTGGGCTTTTTTTTTCAAGTTTTTTGAGACAGGGTTTCTCTGTGAAGCCTTGGCTTTCCTGGAACTCGTTCTTTGGACCAGGCTACGCTTGAACTCAAATCCACCTGCCTCTCTGCCTCTCAAGTGCTGAATCTAAAGGCATGTACCACCACCACTCAGCAGGTTTGTTTATTTTAAAGGGTGATAAAATATTGTCATATACCAGGTATTGGAACCTGCCTAGATTGTATACATCTTAATAGTATCTTTTCTAGGAGAGAGAAAAAAAAGGTTGACTGTTTACATTTGTTTCAGGTGGTGGGCAACTGCTATGACTGAGGCCAACTTGAACAAATTATTTTTCTAACTCATTGCTCTGGTGCTAGACTCTTCTGTATCAATAGATTAATAAACTCTGAATGTCTGATGAAACAGACACTGGAAAGTTCTTTTTAGAAGACACAACGGGGCTCTATAGATAAAATGTATTTCTCCATCTTCAATTAAAAAAAAATTTTAAAATACCATTGGAAATTCCTCTACAACTTAAAAATAGAAGTTATGCCACGGTATTTTAAAATCTCTCCATTAGACACATCAGTTCACCCAGTCACATGTCAAGAGGCAACACTGGTGTATTTATGTTACACATGTCAAGAAGGTTCAATCCTGGCTAAAGGCCTGTAGAGTTTACAGCCTCTCTCCCTCACATTTGCCCACAGAATCAAACACAGGCACTGATGACTAAGACATTGTACCTGTTCCCTTACATCTTGATTCAATACTATGCATCAGTGAACCACTTCATTGATTATTTTAAATCTTGGTAGTAATATTTTTCATGCTAAGTTTTCACAGTTCAATCCTTTGAATTCCAAAAGAAGAAACTGTCCTGTGTTACTATATATTTAAGGGGAACAGAAGTAGCAGCTCTGGGCCCCATTAAAGTAAAAGCCAAACCAACCTGATTATTTTATTTGTGTTGCTAGGGCTGGAACCAGGGCCTTGCACAGGCCAGGTAAGTGCTCTGCCATTGAACTACATCTCCAACTATCTACTTGAATTTTTAAATAATGCTCATGAAGACAAAGCCATGTTTAACATTTACTAATGTACAGAAGTAAAAAAGTACTATATTCGTTGTTAAGTATAAGAATATGATTTCTACCATTTATAAATATAATCTGGTAGTTTATAGTTCAAAGCATCCTTAAACTGTAAAGTATCCTGTGTTCCTATATAGACCATCAATTTCTATTTGCCAATTCTATGTGTTACAATTCTCTATGTTTTATTTTAGCCTTAACCAATCACTTGCAAATTATCTTTAAAAGACTGCAAATGATTAGTTTATGAACTGTTTCAATACCTTCAGATATTTAAAACAATAAATGAATCAATTCATTACCTGTAAACTCACACTACGAAATTATAATGGCTCCCTTTTATACTACTGAGTCACATAAAATATGAAAAAATAATTATGTAACATTAGGCACTAGTTAAGACTGTTCTAGAAACTTTTCCCATAGACTAACACACACACACACACACACACACCACTGCAAAGCCCTGAGATGATTTTAAGAGGGGTGGTGCAAGGATGGACGTTTTTTTTTCATAGTTATAAACTTATATCAATGTTTACTAGAAAAATAACAAGCAAATAAAAATGTGAAGTATGATTCAAAATACGTCCAAGATTGTAAAAGTTAAAACCAAAAGTAAGCACTGTAGCATGGGATACACTGCATCCACTGGGAAGGCTGTGCTACATTTAGGAAATAGTCTGAAAAATCCAGTTTAGCATCGTCTCTGAATGTCTGCAGTGATGAGTCACATTGGAAAGAGGATTGCTCTACTACTGTCAACTTTTTTTTTTTTTTTTTTTTGGGAGAGGCAATCTCCATGGACATGAAAATTAACATAAAACATGTTTTTTACATTTAAGAATATAGATTTGAAAGCATTAATTAATTTTTTGTTTAATTTTCCAAGACAAGGTTTTATTGAATAGCCCTAGGTGGCCTCAAACTCACAGAGATCTGCCTGCCTCTGCCTCCCAAGTGCTGGAATTAAAAACGTGCACCACAACTGCGTGTCATGTTGTTTAATTTTCTTTAAAGGATTCACCACATGTTGAAAAGTTAAGTAACACTGGAAGGATGCACTATTCCTAAAGACTACAAAGGCACGTTACATATTATAGTTAAAACTTCAGCATTAAAATATAAATGAACTAAATAACAATGAACAGATATTATAATATTCTCTCATAAAAAAGGAGATAAGCTTGTGCACTAAGTGCTCTTGATTCTGGAACCACCTGCACGTAAGTGTCGCTGACGTGGACCCAGTGGCCTCCAAATTCACTATCAGGTTCTTTCAAACCTAGCAGAACAAAAAGGACAATTTTACAGTTAGTGTGTTTATGTCTTCTAAATTGTAAGCAGTGACAAATTTATTATGAGCTATATTTAATTCTAAGATCCATAAGATCTAAGATTGATAATTACTTCTAGTTAATACATTTTTAAATTTAAATATCTAGTGAAATATTAGCTTTATAATACTTAATTTCCCAGAGAAATAAATATTCACTTCCACCAAAAAGGAAGGTGGAGAAACTGGCGAGATGGAGCAGGGAGGAGCGGTGCTTGCTGTGCAAGCCTGGGCATCGGCTTTATCCCCAGAACCCACACAAGGGTAGAAGGAGAGAACTGAGTATACAAAACTGTTCTCTGACAGCCAAACACATGCACACATACATACAGCAAACACACACACACGCTACACTTTAAAAGCTAATAGCAGAGCTGGACGTGGTGGTGCACATCGTTATCCTAACATGAGGGAGGCAAAAGCAGGGAGATCTTTTTGAGTTTGAGGCTAGCCTGACCTCTACAGTAAATTCCAAGTTAGACAGAGCTACATAGTGAGATGTTCTGTCAAAACAAAAATAACAACCAAGCAACCACTAACAACAACACAGCTAATAAAGGGGAGGTGAGAGAAAGGGCTCAGCAGTTAAGAGCACACACTGCTCTTGCAGAAGACTGGAGTTTGGTTCCCAGCACCTGTGCTGGGCGAATCGCAACCACCTCTGTACTCCAGCTCCAGGGATCACATGCCCTCTTCTAGACTCTGAGCGAGTATACTTACACATGCACATTCACACAGACACCCATTAACAAAATAGAAACCTTTATTAAAAAAAAAAAAAAAAAAAAAAAGGAATCCAGGGAGTGCAGAAGAAAACTCAATGGCCTGTAGTAAAAGCTAGTGAATTTCCACGTCCAATCTTTTGATGAGCTGGTGTGTCTTCAGAAGATGGGGAATGTGGCTGAGGACATGATGAGAAGCACTAGCCACACAAGCCTGATGATCTGAATTTGACCCCAGAACCAGTGCAAAAACAGATATCATTGGCATGTGTCAGTCATCCCAGCATTAGTTCATATGGGAAAATGAGAGGCAGAAGCAAGAAAATAGTCCAGAAGTCCCCAGGCCTGAATACACAGCCCAGTGGCAAAATCAGGACAAGCAGGTGAAAGGCCAGAATGAACTGTTGGAATGTACTCTCAATCAGCCACATTATGCTGTGCACATCAGTACACAGACACAGACTCATGCACACACACGTGCACACACACACACATTATTTTTACAAAAACAAAAGCAAATAACAAAAAACCTACCACATCTCTGAAGTAACTTTAAAAAATTGTCAATTCATATTGCCTAAAAGGATATTACTTTGTGATTATTAAGATTTTTGAAGATTATCTAAGCAGACTTAAGATTAAGAAAATGAATCCATTTGGAGCTAAAAAGAGAGAATCAATTCTTTAACTTTTAAGGAGATGTACAGAGGATGGCAGACCTGGTGCAGGCTTCCTCCCGGTGATGCACTCGGACAGCTTCCTGGAGGGTACTCGCACTTTCACGTAGGCAGTGTAGTGGCCTCCTCGCATGGAGCCACTGTGCTCAACTATACCGTAGAGACCATAGAGAACCTTCTCCCCCACACTTATGTTCTTTTAAATAAAGAAAAAAGGGAACATTGAGTGAAACAGCTCATGAGAAGATAAAAATACGTAAGAGAAATGTATTCTTGAACCACATTGAGATCCTCTGTGCTTGTCAACAGACACAATGTCCTCTATGGAACGGCATTACAAAGCCACAACCAAGAGGGGGACTACCAAACCCAAATGTACCCAGTCCTCTCTACTTAGAACTGCCTCACACAGAGAACAGTGATGACAAAGGGATTATCGTCAAATTCTACATCACGGCAAAATACAAGAAAGATCCCAAAAGAAGGAAGAAGCAATCAGACATTAAAATAGTATAAGCATCATTGATTTGCTTGTATATTAATTCATTTTAATTATTGTATTGATCTTTAAAATGAATTGAATGCTAATTCACTTTAAAAATCATATGCATATGACAACAGTTAATATGAACACTAAATGTATAAAGGATATATTAAGTGACATTGTGGTTGGGTTAAAATGGAGAAGAGGTGTCTGTGTGAATGTGCATGTGTAAGCTCAGTACATGTGTGATGTCTTGAGTTCAATTGCCACCTCCACCCACCAAAAGAGCAATCTGCAGAAGAGAGTACATGGTGTTTAGGGCAGTACAAGCCTATAATGCCAGCACTTGAGTGGCTGCAGCTGAGAGTTCATGAGTTCAGGACCAGTCTGGGCAAGATCTTATCTCAACAGAAAAACACAAAACAAAAACAGAAGAGGAACACAGAATTCCTTATTGTTTTTAGATATCTATCATGAAATGATACTTTCTTCAAAGCAGTTAGAGAGGACAACGTAGACAAGCATGTGGACGGGAGGAGGGGACAAGACTTACCACAGACCTGAGATTGTAGGAATGGACGATGGAAGTTCACTGCATTGTTCTGCCTACTTTTAAGTATGTTAGAAATTCTCTAGAATAGGCACTTTCAAAAACACATTGTTCTTAAAAAACTAAACACGGCTTACAAAACCTCCTTATTTGCTGAATTATCTGTTACTCCTAAGAATAATGAATGTTAGTATTGAATACTAGTAACTGACAGAGCTGGTATTCCACATCAAATAAATTATATTCACCAAAAAATGCACTTACTTAGTGTATTAGATTCAGTTCAGTAAGTAACTATGACACCACAAAACTGGACTTTAGGTCAATAATCATGAGTATGAGACTCATTTTCCTAAATCTAGCTTCCTCAATAAAATGTCCATCAATTTTACCTGCACAAGTCTTACATGCGAGTATTTGCAAGCAATTATGAACCTTGTTAGTAAGGTATTAGCAATTTAGACCTATAGTATTCAGCTGACAACTACATGACTATCAGTACTTGTGAAACGGCATAAAAAATGACTCAGTAGTGTGTTTATTTGCAAAAGATACAGACCTTCACAAATGCTAAAACTATATTATTTGGCTCACTCAGAGGAACAGGACGGTACAAAGCCAACATATCATCTGCTAATAACTAACAGGCAGCTTTGATAGTTGGGATCCATGCCTAACACCTTACTCATCTTCCAAAGAACAAAAGTCCCATCTGATGTATTAGTATGCCACAATTACTCATTCAAGAAGAGAAGCTTATTTAAACTAAAACAAAAGTATTATCTAATAAACAACAAACAGTATGCTTTTAGGCATATCACTTGCAAATTAATTAAATCTTTTAATATCTCATACCTTACAGGTAGCAGCACAGAACGGAGCTAAGTCAAGGGTAAGTGGAAAGTCTACATGTCTGTTTACTTTACGAAGACTCAAGCCAGCCTTAAAAAGACAAAATAAAAAAATTAGTACAAATTACGTTTAAAGTATATGTTAATTAAAAGCAAAAGAAGAATTTTAAAAGACTTTTTTTTTTTTTTTTAGGTTTTTCCGAGACAGGGTTTCTCTGTGTAGTCCTGGCTGTCCTGGAATTCACTCTGTAGACCAGGCTGGTCTCGAACTCAGAAATCCACCTGCCTCTGCCTCCCAAGTGCTGGGATTAAAGGCATGCGCCACCACTGCCTGGCAAAAGACATTTTCATAGATTTAAATTTTCATAGATCAATTACCTCCTCTGTGGATTTTACAACAATTAATGGAAAAAATAAATTTAATGTGCTAAAAGCTAATCCACTGGCACATACTGTCATGGAAATGTACTCAACAAAGGTTTAAGGATATCTAACTCAATGACTTGTTAAAAATGAACTTGAATGTAGGCAACCTCATCTAGGTCACAACAGAAAATGGATACAAAGAGATCTTACTAAGTACTCCTCATTTCTAAATTCAATGATATTCACTAAGTATGAAAGACTTTGAGCACTTCAAAGTTTTTTCAATAAAAGTAAACAGTATACATACATCAGTCAAATGATTTTTTCTCATCTTAAGAAAATTCTACTTATTTTTCTCTTTTTACTTTCCAGAGAGAACCTTGAAAAAAAATGTATGTTCTCCATCATGTGATGGTAATAAATATTAACTGAGGGCTGGCAGGATGGTTCAGCAGGGAGAGGTACTTATTGTGCAAGCCTAAAGACCCAAGCTTGATACCTAAACCCCATGGTGGAAGAAAACCAAATCTCAAAAGTTGTCCTCTCACCTACACACACACACACACACACACACACACACACACACACAGTAATAAAAATAAAACTTAAAAAAATGTAAACAGATTCACTGTTAGAAGTGCACGCACTCTGATGGAGTGAGAAGATACTTAAATGTAAATGGTATACATAGACAAATCAGGTGCCATCTTTTCATGCAGGGCCTTCTTGATATCACTGCATACCAATCACATAATTTCACTGTAGTCCCCACATTTGATCTGAGTTTTCTTTATAAAACATTTTAGTCACAATTAACTAATATTGCCCAAATGATCTGTGTACATGTGTATGTGCTCCTTCATGTGGGTGCACTTGTTCACGTGTGTAGACATGTGTGCATGTATTGGGGATGTCCATGTATATATGGAGGCTAGGGGACAACTTCTGGTGTCATTGTTTGGATGTTATTCCACAGGTATTATCGTTTTGCTTCCTGAGACTGAGTCTATTACTGGCCTACAACTCTCCAATTAGACTGCTGGCTGATCACCCTTGTGGCTGCCTCCCCTCATGTGACATTTCAAGCATAAACCATAACCAGTTTTTTTATTTTTGTTTTTAACAAATATCCTAGGACCAATCTCAGGTGCTTCTGCTTATACATCAAGCTCTTTATCAGCTAAGCCATCTCCCCAGGCCCCAGATGATCATGAAGATTCACATGAGAGTTGACATGAAATGACAAGATCATATACAGAAACGACTGTCCAACCTATATTCAATTTCTTTGCCTTCTATTTCATCAGGTGACCTTTATAAGTATCCAATACCAGCAATGAGATTATTCAGACTGTTCTCCCCAGTCACACTGAGATTGTGTAGAAACTACTCCACAGTAGAAAAGCTTCTATAAAGGCCTAGAGGATGAATCTTTTTCTAGGGGATACTTCTAAGAAAGTATCTAGCATTATGTATGTAGTCATTTGCCCTTTGTTTTTCTTTTAACAGAATGACTCTCCCCTAGTCATTAAAACATAAATCAGATGCCCTTTACACTAGATGTTAAATCCTCCACCTAGTTTAATCTGCAAGAGAAATGGCTCTGCTGGGTATATCTCTATGTCAGTGTAGCAAGTTCTTAGCAGTGAGATTGATTGTTGTTCATTCACAACATCACTGACTGACTTTCTAGGCAGTGTTACTAATGCAAACACCCACGATTGGCACATGTGCATGTCTAGGTCTTCCTTTAGCTCCAAACAATTCTGTATCCTTGCTAAATTGCACAGTTACAAAAAGAAATCTCATTTTTATATTGAATTTGCTTGAAAAGATGGGCCTATTTTGTAGTTTACTTGAATTTGTATTTCCTCTTCAGGTGCTCTACACTCTTCAACTGGAGCCAACACTTTTCTTATCTGAGTTGTTTGCATAGTTACAAATTCAGTCATTTGGTATGTCTATTACAAAGATCTCTATTCAGTTTGAGGTTTGCTTTTAAGTGTTGTGTTTGAAGTTTGCTTTTAAGTGTTGTATTCCAGAATATAGCTCTAAAGTTACTATAGGAAAACATGACTTGAGAGATACTAAGAAATAAAGTTAGATGTTACTTAGGAACTTTCTCCATCATTTGCAACCCTTGGGAACAAACCTTTGAGGTTACATTCAGCTTCGGAAAGAGAAGGGACTGAAGTATTTGTAAATAATTCCCTTAAAGTACGTAAGTTGTCGTTTTTGTTTGTTTGAGTTGTTCATAACAAGAACACAAGTACCAAATAAAAAACAAAGTAGTTTCTACATCTGGCATGTCCTTCCTTGTCCCTTGTCCGTAGTCGGTGGAGATGTACTTTCACCAGATATCCAGATGAGATGAGAAACCACATCTCTCCACCATAAAATTGGTTATGGAGAATCATGAGCTTTTATATTTGTTTGGTTTGGGTTTTGTTGCTGTTGTTTAAGGTCTCACTATGTACCTCTGGCTGTACTTGAACTCACAATGATTCCCCTGCCTACCCCCAACTGCTTTACTAACCACTTTATCAACTGAGCTATGAGCTATTTTCCTAGCCCTCAATTACTAATTTTATTTTAAAGTATAAAACAAACAAAAAAATCTTTTAAAAAAGGGATCTATATTTATTTCTTCTTCAAGAGAAATAGAAAAGTTATTAAAAAAAAAAAACAGTCAGGGATGGTGACACAGGTCTTTAGCAATGGTCTTTAATCCAGCTGCTTAGGAGGCCTGAGCAAGATTACAATGTCAAGGCCTTCCCAGGCTATGCAGAAAATTCTAGGCCAGCTTGAGCAACCTCCCAAGACCCTGTCTCAAATTTAAAAGAGAGAAAAAAAAAAAAAAAGCAGAGCAAGAGATGTCAGTGGCAGAGCACCTGCCTAGCAAACAGAATACCCTTAGTTCAAACCAAACACCAAAAAGAAAAACAAAACCCCACTGAACAAGATACAGGGTTATAATCATAAATAGTTACAGAAAGGCCATCTCTTCTTTAACACTGAAAACATCTGCGTTGCCTCTCTCTGGTCTTGAGGGTGTGGGGCCTCCCTCCTTCCATTGCTTAGTCCCTAGTCAGCACTGCCAGCTCAAACACCACAGAAGCTGTGTGGGCTTTGCCTTTTTGCTCCTTGTAATTCTTAGTAACATTTAGTCTCCATTAAGACATACTTGTGACCACACACCACTTAGAGACATCACTTAGGTTCCTACCACTTAAATCTTTCAATGCTAGTCAAGCTTCCCCCCCCCTTGCCCAGTACAAGAAATCTCACATAATTTTTTTAATTCCAGGAAATACTTTCTAATGCTTAAAAGTTTCTCAGAGGACTGAGGACTCTACGAACATGTCATGAAGCTGATCACAGTGTTGCTAAGTGGACTCTTACCTGGTGGAATCTCTTGAGATGAAGGATTAGGATAGCTGGAACGGCAGATATGAGTAGTTGCTTCCTGGCATTAGTATAAACTCCTCCTGTTTTCTTTTCTGCATACAATACAACAAATTTACTTGTAAAATTCCATTGAACATATTACTTATAACATGGTAGGCACTTATATAAAATCTATTTATACACTATTCCATCGTGTTTTGGGTTTTTTTTGAGGGGGGGGAGAATCAAGATTCCTCTGTGTAGCCCTGGCTATCCTAGAACTCACTCTACAGACCAGGCTTGATCTCAAACTCCAGATCTGCCTACTTTTGCCTCCCATGTGCCATGACTAAAAGTGTGACTCACTACACCTACTTAACCACTTTAAAAATATTAAAGAAAATGTTTTTAATGTTTGGGGGGCAGGTATATATGTGTTTTGTATATGTGTGTGTGTTGGGGGGTAATACACATGTGCATACGCATCTGGGAGCCAGAACTTGACAGTGGGCAGTTTTCATAACTACTTTTCCAACTTGGTTTTTTGTTTGTTTTGTTTTTATGACAGGGCCTCACCATGGAGCCCAGGCTGTATTGGAATTCATTTTGTAGACCACAAGGTGCATCTGCCTTTCCTTCAAACACACTAGGCTTTCAGGCATGTGCTATTGCACTTGGCTTTTACACAGGCGCTGGGATTAGAGCTCAGGTCTTCATGTCTGTTTCAGCATAATTTTATCTACTAAGCCCTCTCTGCATCCCAAGCAACAATGCAGCCACCAAGAATATTCCTTGCATTCACTAATGCTAGTAAAAATTAATCAGGTGAGAATTCGTATCTTTCTCTAATCAAGCAAGCACTAGATTCATGGCATGAATATGTTTAAGGACTTCAAATACATATACTGGACTTACATGAAATAGAGGGGGTTTGTGGAGGCCAGTAATCTCAAATCCTACTAGTGACTTAACCGTAAGTTTTAGGGGTATTTCAGAACGGTTTTAAATAGATAGATCCCTCAGATTTGATTACATGGGTTTATGGTTTCAAGACAGAGAAGTGTACTTCTTGCTCTTCACTTACTTCAGCTTCTCCTGGGAATCGACTCTGCCCAGCCAGGGTCCTGAATTCAGAGCCCCAAGTAAGACAAGGCCTATGCCAAAAGGCTCAAGGCACCCAGAGACTTGGGGTCACACATTAAGGAGCTATCAACCACTAGTCACCTTCAATCCATCAGTAACACAGAAAGCAGGCAAGCGAGATGTTTACCTGCAGAACTGGTTTCTTTTTGGCACTTCCGTTTCTTTTCAGTACAGTCTTCACAGAGCAGCTTATTGTTGCCCATTAATAACTCCATGGATGTGAACTGGTAGAGACAGGACTGAACTGAGCATTCTTTCGAAGTAGTTACGTAACTCTGAGAAAGAGTCTGAAAAGCATTTTGGGCACTGTGAAGCCTCATATGTTTTCCCTCTGAAAAACACAAATTATTGGTGACATTCAGTGGCTGTTTTTCCCTGTTAAAATCTCTATTTCCGGTTACAGTGCCGCTCAAATGAAGTTCAGCAATCGCTTCCGCCATTTCCTCATCGCCACTGTGCGTCTCCTTGGTGTGTGAAAAGTCACTTGCCAGCGGGAGGTGCGGGTGCTGCTCCCCGTGCCCGCAGGAATCACCACTGGACCCAAGTAGCACAGACTGCCTGGAAGCGTTCTCAGGTTCAGAAGCTTCACTGTCGGCATCCACGCTGCTTTCTAGGCTGGTGTCTCTCTCACTGCCATCAGTGGGGCTTTCGTTCAGCGATGCCTCGGTGCTAACGGTGCTGGCAAACAGGCTGGCTTCCAGGTTTTCATTCTTCGGGTATGTAACAAGAGTTTTCTCTTCTTCAGATGGGCATTTTCTTAAATGTTTTCTGTCATGACTTAGTTGATTCTGTAAGTTGACAATATTTTTCAGAGAAAAGAATCTTGTGATCTTATCGGAAACAAATGCCACTAAAGTCCTATTTAACTGACCACAATTTTTCAATAAATACTTCTCTGACATCCATTTCAAAATCTACCTAAATGAGAATCAACTTGCTCTAATTTAAAGATAAGCTGTTACCTGGGGGTCTAACAACAGTGGCTACCTGTAAGGAAGGGAACAGAACTTCTACAGAACAGGGCTATGAGGGAGACTTAAATCTATCATATACAAAAAAGACATTCATCTCTATCACTGTGTGTTTGGTCTCATAAAGAACACATGACAAACGGGTAATAAACTATGAACTTCAGGATAACATCCACCAAGTTGAGCTGGGCATGGTGGCACATGCCTTTACTCCCAGCATTTAAGAGGAAGAGGCAGGGAGATTTCTGTGAATTTGAGTCCAACCTGGTCTATGGAAGTGAGATACAGGACAGACAGGGCTATGTAAAGACCCTGCCTCAAAAGATCAAAACGAACAAAAAAATCCCACTTCCCCTGTGAGTTTATAAAACAATGTTTTGAACTTCAGGTTCTGTATTAATAAACAGGTGACTAAGTAGACTAACTTCTGATCTAGCCAGCTTTAGGCTTACTGACTTTGTGTTATCTGTGGTTTACCGTTTTAGGGACTAAACCCAAGAGTTCACGCCAAGCAAGAGCTCCACAACTGAGCGATTCTCTCAGCCCGAGCTTTAGCAATTTTTGAAATCCTACTCCTAATGAAAAGCAAAGTTCACATTCCTAACCTTGACGGTCATAATTTTTTTTTTTTGAGATAGAGTTTCACTTTGTAGCTCTGGCTAGCCTGGAAGTTATTATGTAGATTAAGCTGGCCTTAAACTCAGATTTGCCTGCCTCTGCATCCTTCATGCCAGGATTAAAGACATGCCACCATGTCTAGCCCATACAAATTTAACTAACTAAAAACATTAATATTAAGCTTGTAACATAAATAGAGTCCAAACATCACTAAGGTTATCTTGAAAGAGTAACAAAATTGCATAGAGGAAATCTTTATTGTTCCTAGAAGTAGTCAAGGACGGAAGGCAAGGGCAAGCTCCCAGTACTAGGCTGCTTGGCTTCCGGTCCTGTCACTAACTAGCAGTGTCACTAGATAAATTATTCAACATCGAAGGATTCTAATTTCCTCACCTCCAAGACAGAAGTGACCACCCCAGTGAATTGTCTTGATGGCCAAGTAAGGCAGAGCACATAGCAGCCCAGTTAGCAGCTTTAAATACTGTTAGCTATTATTTAGCAGTAACCATGAGAATGATTACACTGGTCTCCTTAAAAACCATCCAGGTACAAGTACTGACAAGGTTCTAGAGATACAGCAGCCAAAAGGACAACCCAGTTCCCATTTTCTGACTAAAGCAAGTGTCATGACTTAATGTGTCATCAGTTAAGAGCACTGGGTTCAATTCCCAGCACCCACATGGCAGCTCACAACCTTCTGTAACCCCAGTTCCAGGGAGCATGATGCCTTCTTCTGGCCTCCACAGGTACCAGGCACACACATGTGTAGTACATACACACACATACAGGCAAAAACACCCATACACATAAAATACGAAAAAAAGAAAAGCAGCAGATGTCAATGGGAATAGGTATACACAGATAAGACCACATTCTTGACCTATGCAATAGTGAATACCTTTCATCCCAGGACTTGGAAGGCAGAGTCAGGTGGACACAGTGAGGCCTTGCCTCACAATAAGCAAGGAAGCAATAAACAAAGGGGAAAAAACCCACATTCCTTACTTAACCTACTTAAGTCTCTGTTTCTGCACCTGTAATCACTAACGTCTTAGGCATATTTCTTCTCTTGTTTTGTTTTTGTTTCTTGTTTGTTTTTGTTTTTCATTTTTATTTAGTTTTTTTTTGTTGTTTTTTGTTTTTTTGAGACAGGGTTTCTCTGTGTAGCCCTGGCTGTCCTGAAACTTGATCTGTAGACTAGGCTGAACCTAAAGATCCACCTGTTAGGCATATTTCTTAGTTTAAATCTTGACATAATATAATTGGTGTAAAGAATTGGAAATAGTGAGCACAACATGGTCAAGAACTCAAATGTTGGTAAGAATTCCTGTTATTATAGGGAAAACATATGAACTAATATATGAACTATCTGAGGTTAAGGGGACTGGAGGAATCTTCAGATACTCAGCAGAAGAGGATATTCCCAGTAGAGGCACACCTGGCTCAAAGGCCCCCTAGGCAAAGAGGAGACAGAAGCTCTGGAAGTCCTGCTGGAAAAGACAGTGTGGGGAGAAGGTACACAACAGTGGAGATCAGTATGATAGATTTCATGTCTGAGAGCCACTGGGCTGACTGCAAGTGCCACACAGTGTGGGAAAGAGAGAGGAGTGAGAGCAAGAAAGCCAGAGGGCAGACACAGTATCCTTCTCTCCTGCATTTCTCTCTGACCACTGTAGTAATGACTCTGGATCCCATGCAATTCCCCAGGCAAGAAGTTCCATTTACTGTGTACTTTCACTGGTTATGTTAAAAACAGTCTTACAAGAGCCAATCTTCTACTGTCTCACCAGCGATAAGCCTCTACTTATTATGGCAGGTTAATTTCTTCTTTAACCTGACACTTCACCATCATTTTCCCTCTGAAAATCTGTACCATCATAGTGAGGTAACTGTAGGACAATATAGTAAAAGGGTCAGCAATTAGCTATCGGATCAGTACTTAAACTTCACATATTTTAAGATATTCGATGAGTTTCTGTTGAACACACTAAGTGTGAGGGGGATGTCCATCTTAAACCTTAAAAACAGAACAAATGAAAATGTCTAAAGAGGAAATGTATTTCTTCCTTGAATTTTCTCAAAATTCTCAATGAGTGGCAGCCAAGGTGGTGATATGGAAGAGGAGAAAAAATTTGAGTTCAGTCTGAGCTACATAGTGAGAGCCTGCTCAATAAACGAATAAACAAAACAACAACAACAAACAAGCAAACAAACGGAAAAACACTAAAGGCTGGGGCTGAAGAAATGGTTCAGCAGTTAGAAACACTTGTTGTTTGCACAGAGGACCTAAGTTCAGTTCTCAACATCCCTATGGTGGCTCACAACCATCTATCACTCCAGTTCCAGGGTCTCTGATGCCCTTTTCTGGCCTCCAAGGGCACCAGGCACGCATGTCGTACACAGACATACATGCAGACAAAACACTCATACACACAAAATAAAAGTCGCTATGAGAATGGTGTGTTTCTGACTTTGTAAACATATGCAGACTCTTTTGTTCTCCCAAGAACTAAAAAAACAGCAATAAAAGTAACATATCATCACATGAAAAGAAATTCTATAAAGAATGTGTTCAAGGCTGGTTAGTGGTGGTGCATGCCTTTAATCCAGCCCTTGGGGTGTGGGGATGGGGAGCAGAGACAGGTAGACAGGTAGATCTCTGAGTTTGAGGCCAACCTGGTCTACAGAGTGAGTTCCAAGACATCCAGAGAAACCCTGTCTCAAAGAGAAGAAGAAGAGGAAGAGGAGGAAGAGAAGAAAGTGGAGGAAGAGGAGGAGGAGGAGGAAGAGGAGGAGGAGGAAGAAGAGGAGGAGGAAGAGGAAGAGGAGGAGGAAGAGGAAGAGAAAGAGGAGGAAAAGGAGGAAGGAGAGGAGGAGGAAGAGGAAGAGCAGGAGGAAGAGGAGGAGGAGGAGGAGGGGGTTGAGATACGAGGCCAAGTTATAATACTATGGAGCTCATGTCTACATATCTAATGAAATATCTAAAGATCAGCATTACTCGAACACTCTCGGTGCCCAACTAGTACTGTGCAGACACTATTTCCTCAGATATTTAAGCAACACATTATTAAAATTCTTGTGGCCAATTCACAGAATTCCCCATTATCACTTTAAAGTTAAATAAAGCCGGGCGGTGGTGGCGCATGCCTTTAATCCTAGCATTTGGGAGGCAGAGAGGAAGGAAGATCTCAGTGGGTTTAAGGCCACCCTAATCTACGTAACAAGTTCCGAGACAGCCAGGACTATATAGAGAGCTACTTTGTCTCAACAAAACAAAACAAAAACACCACAAGCTAAGGAAAAGTTATTACAATCATATTTTACTAGCAAATACTTTAAAAGCCCATCAAAACCTGAAATGCCTTCATTGTTTCCCATCCACAGGAGGTTCCAACCAAGGCACTCTGGTCTCCACTGTTAGAAGGCGGCAAACCTTCTACACAAGTAATCCTAGCACTTGGAAGGGAGAAGCTTGAAGACTGCTGTAAGTTCCAGGCCAGCCCGAGCTACTTAGTGCATTCCAGGCCATCCTGTGTTCCAGGCTACAGTTATAATACAACAAGACTCAGGGGAAAAAAAAACAAACAACCAGCAACCAGACAACCAGATGGACAGATAACTAATAAGCTAGTCAAAAAAAAAAAAAAAAAACCCACGCTGTCTTTTGTAGTTTTGACACTTGTAAGACTTCTAACAGAGTAGCTTCAATTTCATGAGCCTGTTTGCTGAGTTATTTCAAAATATTTCATATAAAAGGCATTCTTCTTAAATAAAATACAAATTCAGATTGATTTCTATTTTACTAGAATAAAAACAACCAAATATGTCTCTAGAAAAATACTGTATGTATAAAATGCTTCAATAGCTGGTGATCTGGAGAGACATTAAAAACTGCACGCCCCTACTTAATAGATATTACCACTTAAAAGTCAGTAACCCCCTCCCTCCTGTGCTCCCTGCACTGTGTGCCCCCCCAGCACCATGTCCTCCATTTTGTTTAGAGTTTCAGAGACAGATCTTGCTACTGTAGTCCAGCCTGGACCAGAAGTGCTTCGATGCTTAAGTTGGGATCCTTCTGCTGCAGCCGCTGGAGCTCTAGAAATACAGGTCTGTGCCGTCATACCCGGCTAGAAGTCATCTTGCTGAAAATTAAGTAATCAGTCAAAGCTAAATTTGCCCTCTAGCTTTCATCAGAGAGGGAGTAATGGAGAGAGAACTTGTAAGAGCCATGGAAACTCAAGAGCAGATGAACTATTTTTCTATACAGGAAACTACTGAAAAAAGGACCATATTTGGTGACTCTCTCTGTGAACATGCTTAAGATCTTTCACGATACAAATATTAAAAACATATCCAACCCCCCACACCTTGACTTGCCTTATCTTTAGGTGAGGAATGCTTCTTGGCAGCTCTGGGTTGGTGGGCGTTTTCTACAGTAACGGTGCCTTTGTTATGCTCTTGGTCTGTTTCCTGTAAACTTCTGCATTTATTCATTTTTCCCAAAAGTACAGGTTTTGAAACCTATGCCACATATAACATAAAACATTTTCAGCAAATAAATTCTTTTCAACATCTGTAACTTACTAGAAATATATAAAGGTAATTTTCTTTATTAAAAATATAGTTTTAAAATTCTATTATTAGTATGGGTGTTTGGACAGCATGTATGTTGTGTGCCACTTGCATACAGTGCCCATGGAGGCCAGAAGAGGGTGCTGGATACCCTGGAACTAGAACTGGAACTGGAGTTACAGTTATGAACTCACAAGCCATGAGGATGGTTGGAACTGAACCAAGGTCCTCTGGAAAATCAGCCAGTGCTCTTAACTACTGACCCATCTCTCCATCCCGTTTAAAAGGGTAACTTTCTTAATTTCAAAATACAGGGCTAAAAGATTTAATCCTGGAGAATAAGAAAATGTATGTACTTTGATGCTCACATACACAAACCTGAAATCAAACACACCACACAAACCTAATTCTGTGTAAACCATGACTCTGTGAGAGATAAACCCAAGAGATGTTTAAATAATTGAATGCACGCATGCTCTCTACAAGTTTTGTGATTTCTTCTCCTTACCCTTTCTTCTATGATGGGAAGTGAAATATCAATGAAGGGATCCTTCATGGTAGAGATCTTAAAAAGAAAAATAAGATTGAGAGGTTTGGTTAGAATTCTAGCAAAGATACATACTGCTGTTAAAGAGCAAAATAAATCAAACATCTCAGATGACTTAAAATCTCAAGTTAAAATACTGTATGAAGTGTTAAGAATAAAGAGTCTGACATATGTCTGGCCGATTCTTAGGATAATCTGTTTTAGAAGATACTGGTATAAAAGAGAAATCAGTGTCTGCGCACGACATTGTGTAAATTTTAGTAATAGTGATGGTCACATTTTATCTTTCAGTGTCATAAGCAAGAGGATATACAATAATCCTTGTTTTCGAGCTGGAGAGATGGCTCAGTGGTTAAGAGCACTGACTGCTCTTCCAGAGGACCTGAGTTCAATTCCCAGCAACCACATGGTGGCTCACAACCATTTGCAATGGGATCTTTGCCTTCTTCTGGTGTGTCTGAAGACAGCTACCGTGTACTTCATATGCATAAGATAAATAAATAAATCTTTAAAAAAATCTTCTTTTCTAAAACTAGAGATGGCAGAAAAACTGGACATTTTTAGTTCTTTATTAAAATCTGATACAAGTTTAACTTATTGTACTCAACCACATCTTCAGAAATATTTCTTAGCAAGCAGTTGAAAAATCTGTAATAATGGGTGCATGTTTTATGTTGTTAAAGATGGCATTAAAACAAGTACTAAATCAAAGATTAAATCAAGAGTATATACACACATGCACACATCCCTTTTATACATCATGTAACCACAAACAAAACCAAAAACCTAAATAAAACGTGATAGTCTTCTTCTGTCCTCACATTTTAGGACACGGCACTATGTTCGTTACTTGTTTCACAGAGGTTTCTTCTGATAACCACTGTGATACCTGAGAAATAAAGCAACACAACAAAACAATGTGATTGTAGTGAAGTGAATTCTAGGTACATACATTGGCACATTCTTCACACATGACTGTGCTAGTTAGTTCACCAATAAAGATCCGGTCGATGAAGTTCATCTTCACTCCTTCCTTCCCATAGGCTGTTAGAAAATACATTTCTTTAAATTAAAAAATTCACAGAACAATCACTGATCCAACAGTGACATGCTTCTATTCAGAAGTCATTTGGAAAAAAATATAGCTTCTGTATCACATCCAATAATGTGTTTTAATATATCATGTTACATCTTTCTCCTTTACAATTTTGTAGAGGAATTATAACTATTGGGTTCCATAATCTTTAAGAATTAACACCATGTAGGTTCCAGGAATTGAATTCAGGTTGTCAGGGTTGTCAGCATACACCTTTTCTTGCTGAGTCATCTTGCCAGTCCAAATTATTTTTAAGAAGTAAAGAAAAGATAGCAATAACTACTAACTCACACTACACCCAAGCTGCTCCTATTAATTTTTTTGACGTCTCTGTATCTAATCTAAAGATGGACAGAACAGGGAAAACAACTGTTTTTGAAGCTAAAGATTCCAGAACCACAGCAATGAAAGGCGGTGTAAAAGACGGTCTGTGAAACACAGAATGAGAACTCAGCCTGGGCAATTAGTGTAAGCATACACACACGTGCTTGATGATTACTTTAAAAGTTGAAATCACTTGATTTATGAAGTCCTTACAGACCAAAGGAAACTGTGCTAACGGTTGGCTTTAAAATAATCAGTGTTGGAGAAAAATTGACCAAACAACATGCTCTATGTGTAGTTATGTTAGTTCACATACACACAGGCCTCAGACTCACAGAGATCTGCCTGCCCCTGACTCCCAAGTGCTGGAATTAAAGGCATGCACCATATACAGAAAGTATATTAACAAAACTGTTCATCTGGCTTTTAAAATCTATCCTTTGCAAACCTCTGTCTTTGTTGAAAACTATTAAAATGCATTATCCAAAGCACTAAATAACAGAGAAGCATAGTTTAATACCAATAGACATTTTATAGTAACTATTAAGAAATACTGTGTTTCCTTAAGAAAAAAATGTACAAAAAGACAGCAATGGAAAGAAACCCACTGTTGTTGCTCTATACATGCACTAGATGGCAGCATTGCAACACAGACTAACAAGGCACACACTGAGAAGATATGCCCCATTCACCTCCTTGGGAGACGGGTCTCACTATAGAGCTCTGTTTGTCCTGGAACACACTATATAGACAAGGCTGGCCTCAGAGATCCACCTGCCTTTGCCTCCCAAGTGCTGCAATTAAAGGTGTGCACCACTATGCCCAACTGTAACTACAACAGAGTGCTAGAGCACCTATTTATAAATTCCAATCATGAAGGACAGCATAATATTACAAAAATGAAAGGTAGAAATAAAATATAAAGGACATCTTATACTGTCCTTTACAATGATGTCCTCATACTAACAGTATTTCAAGACAAAATATACACTAAGAGTGAGACTTGGATGTCACAGGATATAAACTCAAACTACAATATCTCAACAAGCCTTGCTTAATCACACTGGCTTTTCTCATGTTGGCTGACTGTAGCAAAAGCCTGAAGAAGGCAAGGTGTGCTGCTATTATTAGGTCTCTTAAACAGTGAGCCTGCAACACCTTTGGAGCTTACAGGCATTCTGTCTAGATAAAATTAGGTAATGTAACTGCCCTCTGAAGTGGGCTTAAAACCTTTTCCAGAAGTGGTGAACCCACGCCTGATATTGTAAGCCTGGTAAACAATGTAGGTATGGGGTGTAGGAGCATAACTAGACTCATGTGTGCAACATGTTTCTGGTGGTGAACTAGACATAGCAGCCAACTGCTTTCTATAGACAAGTGTCTCCCAGCTTAAATAAGAGAAGCCCCTCCTTACAATAGACAGTGGTGAGCGCACATTCATGGCTGTCCCAGGATGCAGAAAATAAACAGACAGTGTGGGCCCAACCCTAAATGAGTCACTTACACAACTCCCACTAAGGCAGGGAAGACTGCAGAAGAGGAGAGAGGAAATATCTAAGAGCCAGAAGACAGAGGTAAGGGCTACCAAATGTCATTCTCTGTATGTGATACAACTATTGTAACCATAACTCATCAACTGTAGTTACTGCATTAGGCCCACAGAGGACCAGCATTATCATAGTCAAGGAGCTCATATGAGGCCTTACCCTTTACCTTTGAACTACTGGCTAGCACTTGTTTCTCAAAGATGAGAAATCTATGTCTGGGGAGTGTGGAGGAGGGGATCAGGCAGAGGTGACAGGAAGTGGGAGGTGATGATGGTCAGTATGAAAAGTGTACATGTGAAATTGTAAAAAAAAATAAAAAAAAAAAAGGAAAAAATTCAAAGCCATTTAAGAATAAAAAATCTTAGGTACATCAACAAAAATCTTAGGTACATCACCTCCTCATCTAATATGAAAGTGCTGCAGCTCACCTCCCAAGGGAGGCCATTGCTTTCAATAATTCTCAAAGTCTCCCTTAGAAGATCCCATGTACGAATGTGTCAATCTATACATGTGATATTAGCTCGATTAAAAAAAATTGCAAGCCAGGCAGTGGTGGCATATGCCTTTAATCCCAGCACTTGGGAGGCAGAGGCAGGTAGATTTCTGAGTTCGAGGTCAGCCTGGTCTACAGAGTGAGTCCCAGGACAGCCAGGGCTACACAGAGAAACCCTATCTCAAAAAACAAAAAATCAAAACAAACAAACAAACAAATTGCAGCCAGGTGGTGGTGGCTCACTCCTTTAATCCCAGCATTTGAGAGGCAAAGGCAAGTGGATCTCTGAGTTAGAGGCTACTCTGGTCTACAGAGTGAGTTATAGGACAGCCAAGGCTATACAGAGAAACCCTATCTTGAAAAACCAACCAACCAAACAAACAAACAACAAAAAAAAAACAAGCACACATATAATGTTACACGTTCTTTCTACCACAGTGCATTCTTTTTTTGCAGACGGATTCTGAGTCAGCATTTTCAAATTTTCAAGTATGACTTCATAGGAAAACTGTTGATACCCATTTCTATGCTAACATAATGTGCTATCTATCAATCAAACATCCTTCTGAAACACAAAGCATCAAAGTAGCACCTTCTAGAAGCAACACTTTGAGTCCTGTCTCCTCACCTGGTCTTTGTCACCACTCATCAGTTTCCTTATCCATAAAGCCAGGCCCTGTTGGTGATTGGAGTTTTTCAAGTCCTTCACAGGCCCAGACAGGTACTCTGCAAGCATCTCTGGCTTCTAGTTTAGTTTATCACAACACTGAGCAAGTATCTCCCTGTTCTTTTTCTCTAGAGAGTACACCCTTTTTAACTTTTAGTTTTAGATTTATTTAATGTATGAGTGTTTTGCTTGCCTTTACATAAATACCATATACATGAATGTCAGAAGGTGTTGGATCCTCTGGACCTGGAATTACAGATGGCTGTGAGCCACCTCTGTGGACACTGGGAACTGAACGTGGGTCCTCTGGAAGAGCAAGAAATGCTCTTAAGCACTGAGCATCTCTAGCCCCTTAATTTGGGGGAGTCAGGTTCTCAACTGCATAGCCTTGTCACTCAAAACAGGCTGCTCTCAGACTTACTAGAGATCCATCTGCCTCTGTGCCCAGTCCTAGAGATTTCTTGCCTCCCTTTAACCAAGAAGGATATGACCCTTTCCACTGTATCCAAGCACCTGCCCACACTGCCCACACTGCCCACACTGCCCAGTAACTAAATAATTAAAGCTGCCCTCCACCCTGTAGTACAGCACAGGGCTCTAGTCACAAATCCATTCTTGAGGAGCGCCTGTGAAGCCACACTCACGTGACCCTTACTGAAACACTGAAACAGAGACACTCTTGCTAGAATGTAGAAGTCTCTCAAAACTTGGGATGAACTGAATCCTAATCACAATGTAACAAAGTTTTAGTCTTCTCAACCTAAAAGATACGCTTCTGTACATGTTTCTAACTCTTACAACTGAGAGACTCAAGTTAGCAAGGATTCTTAAGAACTTGATTAAGAAGCCTGTACAGGACAAGGGCTCAAAGAAAAATCAAGGTATTTTGCAGCTGACACTGTTTTTTTCAATAAGTAAAACAGGTAACACTTTCATCTTAAACACACAGCGCTGTCTCACATACTAAGCAATGTAGGGCTATTTCCTGTAGGATTTGTCTCCTCAGTCACTGGTCACAAGACTCAAACACTACATAATACTATCTTTACAACACACACTCTCTCTCTCTCTTTCTCTCTCTCTCTTTCTCTCTCTCTCTCTCACACACACACACACACACACACACACACACACTTTAAAACACTACACAACACTGTATTTGTAAAACCCAATGTAATACTAAAGTAATATATTCTAACGTGCATTTACAATCACCCAGACAAGTTCACTCTACAGCTCTGATATCAACAGCTCATACATTCCTAATGTCCTGAATAGAGGAGCTGTAGGAATACTGCAGATATAGTCACGAAGCCCAGCTTCATCTCTAATACTGTGGAAAGGGAAGATACATCACTGGGCAGTGCCTCTGCTCCCCTGCATCATGAAGTCAGAGCCTGGGGAGATGCACTCTCCTCTTAGGGTTACTACTTTAGAGATTAGTCCATGTGCTCAGATGCTCCTCTGTAAAGAACCGGTTTTAGGTAATTAGCATATATTCATGTTATATAATAACAGGGTTTCATTACATTTTCATACATGCCTTACATCATATTTATCCCCATAACCCTTTTGTACCCCCACTCCCTCCTACTGATCCCTTCTTCCTCTACAGGAGAATGGGTACAGGTAGGTTATTTACAGACACACGGCCGTCTCCTTCCTCTAGCAACCACTAACGGCATCAATACACTCAGTAAGGCTAGGCTTTATGATCCCTGCCCTCCTCAGGACAGTTTTGTTCAGGCGCTGGAAAAGCATAGCTGCTGGGAGTTCCTGAGTGTGAGGGCAGGCCATGTGCAGAGGAGCGTGTTCTCCAACACTCTACCCCTTCTCTGGTTCTTAGATCCTTCCCCCACCAACTGTGATGTTCCCTGAGTCTTGGAAGGAGGAAGAAGCCTTAAAAAATTGCTCTATGATATAATTTTTTAACAGAGTCAACATACCTTTGACTTTTTTTCTAGTTTCATCGTCAGCAGTCTTGGTTGTTGGGTTGTTGAATGCTTTTAGAATGCTAGCTTGTATCCTCTGTAAAACAAAGATGTTAGAACCTAGTGAAGGTTCAGGAAGATCTCATTCACAACAAAGCACTTTCAAATAGCAAGGTACACTACTGATCTCTGCTCCTTAAAGTAAAATATTTAAATCTTAAATGGGTATTTATTGTTAGGATATGTAGTTTTATTGTTTTGAATTTTTTTGTAAGACTGAGACTTATCTAACATATACACATTTAGAAATATTAAGTGTAATCTAATCTTTCAGTTGTACAATTCCACAAAGGAACCAACCTTCTACCTATGCATGGTAATGCAGGCCTGTAATCTCAGCATTTGGAGGCAGGGGCAGGACTGTGAGGTAGGCCGTCTGGAGTCACTAACAGAGAAAGACCTTGCTTCTAAAATAAATTCAAAAGCAAAAACAAAGGAAAAAAAGGAAAAAACCTCTACGCTTCCCTAATGACAGATTTTCATAGATAAAAGTTAGCTTTCTGTTTAGGTTTCCTCTCATATTTAAAACATTTTACAAAAGCAAGTAGCCCAACTCAGCTTTTCTTCAGGTTTAGAGTATCTCTTTCTCTCTCCTTCTTCTCCTCTCTAAATTGTCATTCCTTGTCAAGACAAAAAAAAGAAGGAAACAAAAGATCACATGAAACTTTTTGTCCATGAAGAAACATTAATATATAAGACACTATCAAATTAGTCACTGCAGGCTCTCAAAAAAAAAAGTGCATACACACAGGGACTCTAAAATCCAGACTATCAACTAACATCAGTCAAGAATTTCCCAAATCACAATTATGGTGATCATTACACTTAGTGTTGTCAATAATGACTGTATCTTCAGCTGCTTGCAGCAAGTTACAAGGTTTATATTCTTACACCTGTGTGTGTGTGCGCGCACGCACATGTGTACTGCTGAGCTCTGAAGCTGGGGCTCAAACATGCCACCACACTCATAGCCCTTGTTTTTACTTGTTAGGCAAGTCTCAGAATAAACTATGTATTCCAACAATAAATACTTATTTAAGTCAACAAATTATTAGCCTTTACATAAGTTGTGCCTCTAATTAAGATATATTTTTGTCAAGTGTAACATTGTTACATAGGGTGGAAGAAAAAAAATATAATCTTTGAAAAGATTTTTCTATGTATTGGTTAAAGGTTTTACTATATGAAACTAATGTCTAAAAGGTAGATGGGTGGGTACTCAGTAGGTAACATATTTGCCACTGAAGCAGGAGGATCGGAAAATTCAATCTCCAGAAACCCTGCCTCCAATAAAGCCAGCATGGGTGTGGGTGCCTGCCTGTGACCCCAATGTGCAAGCAGTGCAGACAGGAATTCAGAGTGTAAAAAGTGTGGAGAGAGAACCATCTGAGTATGCTGCCTAGCTAGACTAGCGGAGACACTGCTTTGACATACAGCATGGGGAACTATTAAGGAAGATGCCAAAGCCAACCTTGGTCCTCCATCCAAAAGCGTACATGCCCCAACACATGAGACTATACACATGAAAAACAAAACACAACTCTACTGCCTGAGATAAACTTTTAAAAAAGATTTATTATATTTATACATGTCTGTGTACAAGATGTATGTGTATGAGCAGGTACTTAAGGAATCCAGAAGAGGGCACTGGATCCCCTGGAGCTAGAGTTACAGATCTTTGTAAACAGGTTGACGTGTGACCTGGGAACAAAACTTTGGCCCTGCAAGAGCAGTCACTGCTCTAAAACACTGAGCCATCTCTCCAGCCCCTGAAATAGGTTTTACTGTGAAAATGACACAGAATTCTCTGTTAAAAAAACAAATGCCCAAGTTACACTACATGGTATACTTCAACACTACATATAAAATAAAAACACTGCATATCAGAATTGAAGATAGTTCCCAATGTTCAGAAGTAATTTCACACTTAAATATTTAAATAAATTTAAAACAATAAAAACAAACAGATTAAAAAGCCAAACTATGAATTTGGAGAAAGAATGTCAAGACCAAATAAATGTAGAAGGCAAAATTTCAAAGGAAATGAAAACAAAAACTGAAGAGAAATAATATATAAACGCAAAAGTAATTATTTGGATTTAGAATTTGTTTGGTATTTGTGTATAATTATTTGTTTGGAAGTACTAGATATCTTATATAATAAAAGGAAGCTTAATATCATACTAAAATAAATTTCAAAATTAAAAATAAATAAATGTTAAAAAATTTTTTAAATAACCTCTAGAGAATATTTTCCAATATAATTACATTTGAAACTTGAGGAAAAATATAGTGAACAATTTTCCAAGAAAATATAATTTTTTAAATTAATTTGAGCAAAGACAAAAAAAATCATCTACCATGCCAGGAGGAGGAGGGAGAAAGAAGGAAGGAAGGAAGGGAGGGAGAGAGAGAGGGAGAGAGGGAGGGAGGGAGGGAGGGAGGGAGGGAGGGAGGGAGGAAGGAAGGAA